TGAAATGTATAATGAAAATGTAAGGCTTTACACACCTTTTATTTTGATGCATGTAATGCATTTGATGCATGATGGAATGTATTTCGCTGATTTAAAGTTTAGGTCCAATGGGCCTTATAAGACAGACCCCATCCAAAACTTTGTTTTGAAAAGACAAGAGAAGACTCAATACTTCTATCAAGTTTTTATTGCTGTCCATGGACAGTACAAGAAATAGGGAATCGGTTGTCACTGAGATTATTTTACTAAAACAAAAAATAATTGGGCTGGAGTTGGGCTTTCTATGTAACCATCATGTGTTCGGGAAGGTTGGAATCACACTTTAGAGCAGGGGTGGACAAATTAATATGGAATTCAGGAGCCTGTCTGTCCAATCCAGGCGCCAGCAAGAATTTTAAGGAGCATTGGCTACCTGGTCCTGGTTGAGCTCTGCTGTAGATTGAGACATAAAAAATGGGAAAGTATCCAGTGTTTGATTACATTGTTACCATCTCTATCTGTGAAATACAGACCACTTCTGCCTATGGAATGGAGAATAGTACAGGGGAGTGTTGTTCTGTAGTCCTAAGAGATTTCCTGTTCTAGGGTGACAAAACCACTTCTCTATAGTTACAGTACAGTGAGTCAGTATCGTCACTTAAGAATAGGAATGTGTCACTGGCAGGATCATCGGGTGAAAATAAAGGAAGATAAGTCAGAAAAATGAATGCAGACATCTCATCTATGGAATGATAAGCTGCAATACATTACATTTCTGTTCTTAGGTTTAGCTACACCAAAGCAAAAGAGACATTGCTCTCTTCAAGCTGCCCTCCAAGGGCCACCTCAGGAGGCATTTCATAGGGTCACATGGGGTGGCGGCAGGTTTCCCTGTCTCCCCATCTGGCCAGAGTGTGCAAGTGTCTCAGGTTGCTAAGAGCTCTTAACAACCTTGGAAGCTCTCTCCAGTGTCCCACCCAGCTCACTGATACCAGGTACTGAGCGGGGTGCCAACCTGCCAACCAGTGAAGTCCGTGAGCTGCGAAGGACACCGGACAGAGTGGGAGTCAGTGCGTCACCCGCAACCCCCCCTTCCTGCTGGTAACGTGCACCACCAGCACCCCCCTCCCCCCCTTATAGGGACGCCTCTGTGTACAGCACACTGGATACAGTGTTAGGACTTCACTGCTGAT